AAAGAGAGAGAGAGAGAGAGAGAAACATCAATATGAGAGAGACACACTGACTGGTTGCCTCCCACACATGCTCTACGTGGCCGGGGATGGAACCTGCAACCCTGGTATGTGCCCTTGACCAGGAAGTGAACCCATGACACCCTTCAGTGCACAGTCCGACATTCTAACCACTGAGCCACGCCAGTCAGGGTGGAACTGGGCCTTTTTAACGAGTGCTGTGGCTCACTCTTCTTCTCTCTGTGTCCCCAGTTCCCTTCTGATGGAACGGTGCCTGATCAGCGAGGTGCCCTTATCCACGAAAGCCAACACCCAAGCTCTTCCTGGGACTCACGCTGGTCTGTCCTCCAGGATGAGCGCGGTGGTGGAAAGCGGCTCGAAGTCCAGATTCTTCCTCACATTCTGCTTTGGGGAGGGGGGCCTGCTAGCTCGTCCAGCCTGGTCTTCATATTCCTGGGACAAAGACACCAGGGTTACCGCGGCCTGCCGGCTCTGACAGGACGCCGCCGTCCTCCAGGCGGACTCAGGGTGACGTGCTCAACGTGTTCTTGCTGATCAGGAGAGCCTGCCACGGCAGGGCTGCAGCTCCGCAGCTCCTGTGCTGCTGAGTGACACCAGGGCAGCGGACGCCCATGTCGGTGAGCAAGTCACCAGGACCTCCTCACCCCCTACCCCTTCCCGAGGGCCCCAAGCACCGTCTCGTCTCCTCTGCTTCTCCTGTGAATTTTAACTGGTTGTTACAGGGGCCACTGGGAATCTGAGCCAGACCAACAGCCAGTTTCAGCACTCACCTGACCTCCGGCCTCCTCTCATACTCTAAATTTCTAAGCCACTTCCTTCTACCCCATGGCATTTGATGCATATTTATTAGCTGTTTAAATATTTCCTGAAATGAGGAACAGGTTAAAATCTTTTGCATAAAGCTCTTTCATTTTCTTAAACCAGAAATACCAAAAAACGACATCTTTAACATCGTACGAAGCCGTCACTGAGAGCTGCTACATGAGTAACTGTGCCAGACCCTGGAAATCTGAGAGCGGCCCCCACGCTGCCAGGTCACGAAAGCTCAGTTGCACCTGGTGACCCACATTCCACACACCCAACCAGAAGAGCTCAGGAGAGCCAAGCACGTTGGCGCCAGAGTCCAGTTTCTGAACTTGTGTGCATGCATGTGTGCGCGCGCGCGTATACCCTTAGCCCTCTGAAAAAAAAAAAAAGAGAAATACAAAAACCCACACTATTCTCTTGCTGCCTGTTATGGACAAGGCTCTTGGGACCCTCCCATAAGAGAAGACAATCTAGCTGGGAAAACAGGACACCCAAACGTGTACTTAGCCTAAGACTAAAACAACTATTTCAACAACAGAAGCAGTATCATGAGTGCAAAGTGATTAACTGCTAAATGAATTTTATTGACACCAGCTGCCAAGAGGGGTGCTGCTGGCAAAATTATCTGGCAAGCAATTACTCTCAGCCAGAAAAGCCTACAGAGACTCCTAAAAGTGCAAAGGGAAAGTGATCTCCCCCAAATACGCAGGCTCTGCGAGGGTGTGCACCCCGAAGCAGGTGGGTGGGAGAGTTTCTGTACATCTGGATGTACAAGGTTGGACGTCTTAACACTTCTTAGCCTGACTTCAAGTGGTTCCACTAAAATACTGAAATGACCTCCTTACCAAAAACTGAGACAACGGATGCCCTTGGCCATCAAGTCTAACATCCCAGCACCTGCGTGTGCCAGGCGCTCTGCTGCAACCTAACAGCACCAGCTTCAGGAAGCTTCCAACCTGGCGTCTGGGGGTCAAAACCTGGGATCTTATGGGAAACCCACCCAAAGCTGTGTGTTGAGAATGAGTGGGAGGCATGTCGCCTTTCAACAAGGATTAGTAACGACTGCCCCACAAGGTGCTACTGATGGGCTGACCCTGGTCAAGCGAACTCTACGCCAGGCCCAAAGGTGTTAGCCCGGAAGTGGGATGTGCCAGAACCTGGACGCCCATTTCCATTTGCTCTTGTGTGAGTTACTCGTTGTCTCACTTTATGTCCGTAACAAGCTCCATTGCAAGTGTGAGCCCATTTTACAGATATGGTAGCTGACCCGCCCTCAAGGATAGCCAGCGGGGGCGGGGCCTGCAGGACTAAGGACCAGGGGAGAGGCCGTGAGCACAGACAGCCCCTGGTGCAGTGAAGTGCTGCCCTGGTTGCTGGGTGCCACGACCCTTCTTCCCCTCGGACCTGACAACTGTACGCAGCAGAAAAGATGCTCTGGGGCCAGACCCCGAGCAAGGAGCCCTGCGAACAGCACACACGGGAAGAGGAGAAGTTAAGTGAATTAAAGGCCTTGCCTCATGCCCAGCACAACTAGGTCTCTCAGGTTAGAGCTCTGAGGCTCTGTTACTAAGAAGCAGCAATAGCCACTGAGGTTAAGCAGCTTGTCAAGGGCTTTATGGGCGCTGAGTTGGCTCAACTTCCCTTTGGCACGAGCCCTCTGAGGGAGGAGCTGCCATGGTCCCCAGGTCACACATCAGGAGGTGGAGGCCCGCAGCGGCCATGGCTCCTGCTGGGGAGCTGGGATCAGCCACCGAGCCTTCTGGCTCTGCAGCCACGTTTCTCAGGGACGGCCACACTGCAGAACTCCTGCAGCCACTCACAGGCAGGGTCTAGCCCAGGGGTGGGCAAACTTTTTGGCTCGAGGGCCACAATGGTTTCTTAAACTGGACCGGAGGGCCGGAGCAAAAGCATGGATGGAGTGGTCGTGTGAACTAATATAAATTCAAAGTAAACATCATTACATAAAAGGGTACGGACTTTTTTTTTTTTTTTGTTTTATTTCTTTCAAACGGGCCGAATCCGGCCCGCGGGCCGAAGTTTGCCCATGGCTGCTCTAGGTGATGTAGTCACTCACACTCAGTCTGAAAAAGCTTTGCCACGACGACGGACACCTGTGCTACTGGACTCAGTGCACATGCAGGGCAAAGCTCACGTGGTAATCACACAGAGCATTACATGATGAGAAAGCAAACAAAAGCAGAGGAGGCCTGGCCCCTGCCCACATTGGAAATCCCAGGGACAGCCTTTCCAGAACTGGAAGCAGCACTTCACAACAGGAATGGCACCGGAAGTTGCTGCGGGTCCTGCTCCAAACCCAGTTCTCCCACAGCGACCTCGAGGTCAACAGTGAGCTCCTGCTCCAAACCAGACAAGCAGCCTCAGCAACAACAAGGAGGTCCCACAGGTCTAGTGTGTATGGTGGGGGCGGGGGTGGGGGTGGGTGCAGTGGCAAGAAGTTTCTGGAAAATAACTTTCAGTTGTGGGTTATCGAAGTTGGGGTCAGCACGGGATGTGGCGAGAGCTAGGGCTTTGGAAGCAACAGGACTTGGCTCTACCGCGGCTCTCAACCTGTGGGTCGCGAACAATGAAAATACACCCTGCATATCAGATATTTACATTATGGTTCATAACAGTAGCAAAATTACAGTTATGAAGTAGCAACGAAAATAATTTTATGGTTGGGGGTCACCACAACATGAGGAACTGTATTAGAGGGTAGCGGCGTTAGGAAGGTTGAGAACCACTGCCTGAGTAAGCCCGGGCTCTGACCTTAGGCAAATCATCTGGCTTTGCTTGTGTCTCGGCGTCTGTTTCCTCATATAAAACGAGAGCAGCCATGAGCACGCCCGTGACGATGAGATGGCATAGGCCACATGCGCCCTTTCTGTGTGCGGGCAAGTGTCAGGGCAGTCCCAGCCTCAGCCCACCTTATCCTTCCAAAGTTTCTCCTCTTCCTGGGACCCTTCTGGGACCATGTTTTGAAGTCTCTTGGTTTAACCCAGTGACAATGCCCTTCACTGTTGTGCTCATCAGCAGCCCTGCGAGCTCATCAGTACAAATCGCCCATTCAAGCAACGGCAACGGATTCCAACGCCTGCTCAGAAGGAATTTAGAGCAGGGTTCTTCAGTCTAGTAGCAAATCCGCTGAAGTGGTCACGCCAGCATTTTTTAAAATCTAACAATAAAGAGCATCAGAGTGCACATAGTAAGGCCAGTTTGCTTCCGTTCTAAACCCAGTTTTATCTGCGTGCTGAGTCGAATTGTTTAACAGGGTTGGGGGTGGAGGGTGGCACATCAGAAAGGTTTGCAAGCCACTAATTTAGAAGCATAGTAGGTCAAGTCCCTGCTCTGAGTGGTTCATCAAGTACCCTGCTGGGAAGACAAGACCAACACCAATGAGACAACAGCAAATGAAATGTGCTGCATCTAACCAGGGGCCAGGTAGTGGGGGAAGCAGCTGGCAGGGGTAAATGAGCAGGACCTCACTCCACACAGGGCCAGGAGCGGAACAGATTTAGCCGTCAGGGAAGGCGGAAAGGCCTCCGTAGTGAGGGGCCACAGGCCCAGCCTGCGATGTTTCACTCTAGTAGGGGCAGGTAAGACGCCAGCCGAGGCTAGGAATCCAGGGCAGACCATGGAAACTGCCGGGAGAGAGTAAGTCTCGTGCCACGGGAGCCCGAGCACAGGGTGCCCATGGCTGGGGAACAGAGGAAAGCAGCTCATAAAGGGGCCATCTGAGTGGACAAAGGACAGGAGCCCCAACAGCACAAGCAGCAGCCTAGAGGTGCACACAGTGGGCTTACCCACGGGTAGTGAGCACTGAGACGGAGCACGGTGCTGAGTCAAAGCTGTTTTGCTCTGAAATTTAAGGGCTCAACACAAGCCACCTAGAGCTGGGGAACAAGGCGAGTAGGCGGAGAGCTGGGCTGCTACAGCACCAGAAGCCGCCTGTGGGCGTGGTGAGCCTGTCACTGCACCCACGGCGGGGTCTACAGGGCCGTGTCTACAGCACGTGTGATCCGAGCAGTGCGCAAGGCAGGACAAGGGCACTGGGCTCCTGCATGAAGTGTATACTTTGCCAGTTAAAAAAGGCAAGACACAAAGCCTACCTCAGCGAACATTTGTTTTAAGAGAACAGAGGATCAAGATTCTCAAACGATGAAGGTAACGTGTTCTTGGCAGGATGACTAGAGGGTCATCAATGCTACTCACTGAGCTGTGGAGTGCTGTAAAGATGGCCGCTTATGCTACACTCCTGGCCAGTAGCGCTCTGGCTTCTGGGAAAGCTACCTTAGCCAGAGGCAGAAAGGCTCATCAGTCAAAACCTGTTTAAGTCTTTGACTCACTGTACCCAGCATCATGATTCACCTTTTAAAATAATGATGAGGGTTCTGGAGGTATGTTGGAATAAAGTATGGCGGGTCGCCCCATGCAGGACCTATTAAAAGACTGACGTGAACCGACGCCAGGGACAGCACAGCACCACCTCTGCACAGGCCGAGGGC